TGGGGCAGCGTGGCAGACATTTCTTTGATCTTAAATACCCTTTTTATAAATTAGAAGATGAGGCGTCTGCCAAGTAGTGAGGTGTATATAAGCATAGTCCTCAGAGGTAACACCGTATCTTTAGACTTCGTTGTTTGAAATTAGTTGTAGGTGTTCATGGGCTGCAGTAGTAGATTTATATATATATATGAAAACAGTGTGTGTCGTGAAGACCCACGATAGAAGTGAAACTTTTGTATTACAGGGAAACATTTCAATTATTATCAATCCATGACTTTTGAATAGCATAGATTGTGTACATCATTCATTTATGAACATAAAATTATATACATGTGTCACAGTGCGTCATCTTCTTCGATCTTAAGAAGAGAAATTATCTGTTTAGGTTGACTAGGACTCACGAGAATGAATGAAGTAATTATTATTATAGATCCCAGTGTAACACAAAATACTCATTAAAGTTTGTTAATTAGGTAATTATATATACATATACATAAACACTCACGCCTGTCACCCAGAGGGGTAGGCAGAGACTATGGACTTCCATTTGGCACGACCCTGACACACCTCTCTCGCTTCCTCCACATCCATATACCTACGCATAAACGCTCGTCGGTTAAAGGTACTCTTGATTTGGCCCATTTTCAATATATCGCCCATTTAGTCATTAAAATTTCGCCTAGTGCGTCCCTTCTCGACTCTGCCGTTCACCTCTGCAACATAAATTTGCTTTGTCACTCTTTCCTCATTCATTCTTTCTACATGACCAAACCACCGAAGCATTCCTTTCCTAATCCTGGTCACAACATCATCTTGCAAACCACACTCTTTTCTTATTACACAATTTCTCACTCTGTCATTTAGATTCATCTCTAACATACTCCTTAATGACCGCATTTCTACAGCATTTCTTTCGTGCTTCTTCTGCCACACCCAACTTTCACTACCATACATTAAAGTGGGGACTAACACAGCATTGTGAATGGCAACGTGCCTTTTTGAACACATTCTGACTTCTCACAATAGGGTGTAGAGCCCCATTCACTCTTTGTTCTCTACAAATTGTTATTGAAAATAAACGATGCTCTGCCTTATTGGGCTACAAAAATTACTTCCCATGTTAATTTTTTTAAAAGCGCTGTCTACTCCATTCTCCACAAGTTATCGAACCAATAGCGCTAACGAATAGATAAACTGCCGATAAAAGTACCTCAGAAACCGAGCACAAGTAAAGTTATTTTATAGAACCAAAATTGATTAACTATCATGGTGGTACGTAGAAAATGAAGTAGATGGCGCTATTTCTCAAATTACTCTTTCTAAAATAAATACGTGTACCTTGGTAACTGTCTTAAATAAAATTAATAGATTAGTATTTGAACGAAAGACCGTTATAATCTTGTAATTGTAATTGTATTACTATATAGTTTATGTACTTTTCGTCACACAAAAAGGTTGCGGATCAGAATTTCAAAGCCCTCCCGTAAAAAGTTTTACTTCAAAAACATTTGTGCAGTTTAATTATTTATTTATTTATTTATTCACACCAATACCAGCGTGAAACAGCAGCTTAACGCTGCTGTGTTTCGTTTGGTGAGTGTAGAGAACCGGAGACCCTTTTTACTGGAAACGGGGCATTCCATCTTAGTCCTCACGGGTGACAAGTGACAACGCATCTGCATTTTGATTATTAATCGAAGATAGATATCTATGGGCCACAGCAACCACTTACCATCAGGTGGACTGTGTGCTCGTTTGTCACCCTTATCTTATAAAAAAAACCACTTTATTGCACCTTAATAAAAGTATTACAAAGGGCGGACTTAATGCCTTTACGTGTTCTCCCCCAGTCAACCCGGTCAGTTTACACGCGGTAGAAGTGAAACGTGAGTGAAACCTTCAGTAAACTAAACTTAGCGAGTATGAGACGATTCCAGATTATTAAGAGTAGAATAATTATATGGTTTATTTATTATAATATTGTTAGTAAGTTTAAAAGTGTAAAATAATACATTTTATTCGTCATACATAATAGTTCTAACTCCAAGGTTCCAATTTCAAGAATACTATATTCATTTTTTTTTTATAGAATAGGGGGCAAACGAGCAACCGCAACACCAGGGGAATTGCAGATGCGTTGCCGGCTTTTTAGAAAGGTGTAAGCTCTTTTCTTGAAGGTCCCTAAGTAGTATCGATCCGAAAAAATCGCCGGTAGTAAACAAGTCCACAGAGAAGTTATACGAGGAAGAAAACTCCTAGTAACACGCACAGTTGTGGACCGCCAAGTTAATTTGGCTCGATGTGTGTTCGTGAAATTTAGCGGCTGGAATTAATCCGAACAAAAATCTGTTTTGTCTTATTCTCTCGCAGGCATCCCTATCTAAATATCTCACATAAATCCTATAGATGTAAATATCTCTCTTTTTAGTGTGGCTTCTTCGTTTTATCGAATTTCAAATCACAACGATTGTAAAGAAATTTTCACTTCAAAAGTATAAATAATATTTATAGATTTAAACATTTGATGTGTAATTGTAATTAATCCAGAAATTTAAAAAAATACAATACTTAGTATAAATCGAATAATTGTTAACATGTTAAATGTTGAATACGTGATAGAGCCACAGTGCAGCTATATTATGGTTGTAGCTAAAAAGGGTCGGCTCGATAGGAGTAGAACCACGCTCTCACAGAATACCAGCGTAAAATAGCAGCTTAATACTGCTGTGTTTCGTATGGTGAGTGTAGATAATCAGAGACCATTTTTACTGAAAATGATGATCCTTAATTGAGCGTAAATGTAGATGTTTATGGGCCACAGCATCCATTTACCACCAGCAGGGCTACCATGGGCAGGAGACTATTTTATCCCCGGGGAAAGGAGAAAATGTTTATCCCCTAGCTTAGTTTTATCCACCCTTCGAGCATGGGCACACCGGTGGATATAATATCCACCGTAGATAAAATGGAAGATAGACTTAGACTTAGATAGATTTTTGTATAAATATAAACTTAAGCCCACGTCCTATGAACTAGGATAAAATTGTCCCTTTCAAATGTCAAAAAAGCATAATTTTTTATTTTTCATTTGGCTCCATGCTACGGACGGGGGATATATGTCTACTCGTTATGTCAAACGGGGATATACTTCTCCCCGTTGCTATGCTTTGGCATAGGGACAAGATAATTTTATCTCTTGTCAGTGGATATAATCGGGGGATAAATTTTTTGTCCCCAGCCCATGCTAGCCGTGCTGGTAGACTGTGTGCTCATTTGTCACCCTTATTCTATAAAAAATGTACATGTCTATAAATATGATCTAATCTTACAGGGGTCTGATAGACCCCATATCTATGAAAGCGTGACAAAAAATTAAGTCCATACCTTGGGGTTAATAAATAAAGCCAGACAAGCTGTCTACGAGAGCAGGGTGACTGATATGTACACCACGTGTTACTTGTTACAAAATATTATTATTATTTATATTATTATTCATGGGCGGCGGTAGTCACTTACCATCAGGTGAGCCGCATGCTCGTTTGCTCCTACTTTTATAAAAAAAAATTAAGCGTGGTTACGTGTATGCAAAAAACACAAGCAGCAGAAGCACAGCAGCAGCATTGTCCTGCTATTTCACGCTGATTCGTGCTGAAAAATAGGCTGCTCTACCACAAAGATTTTTTTATAAAAATGAAGTATATTGGAAAAGATAATCTATAAAATATTTATTTTGTACGTGTATGTTTATATTTTGTACGTGATAGAGCCATGCTGCAGCTATATTAGTAGTATAGTTGTAGCACGAATGGGTCGGCTCGACCGGGGAAGGACCACGCTCTCACAGAATACCAGCGTCACACTGCTGTGTTTCGTATGGTGAGTGTGGAGAACCGGAGACCCTTTTTACTGGAAAAGAGGCATTCTATCTTAGTCCTCACGGCTGGCAACGCATCAAACGAAGATAGATGTAGATGTCTATGGGCCACAGTAACCACTTACCATCAGGTGGACTGTGTGCTCGTTTGTCACCATATCCTATAAAAAAGTTATACAATATTTATTCAAAATTCTTACCTATAATCTTTATATTTAAAAATTACATGTCACGTTGTTTGTCCGCGATGGACTCCTAAACTACTGAACTGATTTCAATGAAATTTTGCACACTGTGCATTTTGGTCCAACTTGAGAGATAGGAAAGTTTTTATCCCGATAAATGACCCTCAAAATTTTTATTGCGAATTTAAGGATTTTTATAGGAAGGGTCGTTGGAAAGGGCAGAACAACGTCTGCCTGGCGAGCTGGTATAGTAATAAATAATAAATAGCTCAAGGGTTTAGCGCTCGCTGTAGATTTCACAGTACACGGGTTCGATCCCTGCCGATACAAATGAAATTGTTAATTGCAATTTTAAGTGCTGATTTACCAAGTGTTCGGCGGTGAAGGAAAACATCGTGAGGAAATCTGTAAAACTGAGAAATAAAAAAAATATTTTGAAGACGTGAAGTCCGCCAACACGCATTAGGACAGCGTGGCGGACACTAAGTTGCCCTAAAACCCTCTCAGAAGTGAGAGGAGGCCTGTGCCCAGTTGTATGACGTATATAAGCTGTTACTTTTATAACCTATTTAAAAGAATCTATAAGAGTCATATTAGTTAAATGACATTGTGTAACAAAACAACTTTACCTCAAAAAAAAAATAATACTAGACTAAAACTATTACTAAATTAAAATAACTAAAACTAAACCTTAAAAATAAAATAAAATAACTAATTAAATAAGAGGCCTGGGCCTCTTTGCAGGGTGCCCATCACGCAGGCAGCATTCCCGCGTTGAACTGCGATTGCAATTCTTTGCGCGTGAAAGCCGCCGGCGCGAGGGTCGCCTGTTGCCTCCCTCAGCCTTTTGCTGAACTCCCTGTGGAGTTGCAGCGCACCTTTGCCCCAGGGACCTAGTGTCTCGACGCCGAAAGCAAAAAACTGATATTTTCATATTATTTTCAAAAGCCATTTCCATTAGTTTTTGTCCATTTCTTGTTCTTTTTCCACAACCTTACGATATCTTCTCCATTCCTTGGTGTCCCAACTTGTGCGTTAAAATCACCCATTACAATGCAGTTTTTATGTGCGTGTTCTTTGAGGGTGGTATTAACAGACGAATAAAATGACTCAATTTTTAGAGTAGTTGATTGCTCGGTTGGTGAATAAATTTGCACAATAGACCATATTTCTTTGTCTGAAGGGATTTTTACATTCAATATAGCAATTCTTTCGGATATACCATTTATTTCTACGATAAAGTTTTTGAGTTCTTTCTTGATTAACAATCCCACTCCATGTCTTCCTGGTGTTTCACCTTTATAATACAATATGAACTGGTTGTACTCCACAATAGCTTCACCATTCCGTCTTACTTCACTCAAGCCGATAATGTCCCATTTAATGTCTTTTATAGAATATAAAACTTCTTGTAGGCTCTCTTCGGCTCTTAAAGACAGTGTGTTGTATGTTGCTATGTGTATGTATTTGGTATTTTGTTTCCCGATATCAAATGCATTCATTTGAGGTAGGGGGTAGTGTTAGGAGGGTAGTGGTCGCCTTTCCCCGCGGTGATCAACCATCTTGGGGTGAGTGTTTCGGTTGTTTCCTTGGGTATATACTTTTTGTTGGTTAGTTTGTGTTTCCTGCTGTCGGTGTCTATTGGTCGTTTTTTGTGGTTGTAGGTAATGACAATGACGCGTATCTATCCCGTGCCACGTAGTCTATGTTCGTTTTATTGATCTGCTTTGGGGCCGAAGGGGATGGTTGGTTTGACAATTTGTCTGGAGAATCGGTACAATCTCTTCTCCTCTTATTTCTTTCTGCTTCTTTCGGTTCTTTGGTGACTATTTTATCTTTAACGAAATAGCAAATTTTACCCTTTGTCCTTTCTTCCTTTAGTTGGGGCATGAAGGTGCTTCCTCTTCTCCAGGGTTTCTTTACTGAGATCCTCTTTGATGTAGATTCCCGAACCCAGTTTTATTTTATTTTTGAGTACTTCATTTTTTCTCCAGTTTGTTGTAAAGGTTACAAGAATAGGACGTGGCTTATTATCTTTCTTTTCTCCTAGTCAATAAGCTTTATTTATTTCATGTGAGTCGAGTGTGTATATTCATGTTTTTTTCTAGTAATTTTATAGTGGATTCGACTGGGGATTCGCTATGTTGTTCCTCTTTTACTCCAAAGAAGATGACGTTGTTTTTTCTTTTGTGTTCTTCCATTTTCTTGATTTTTTCATGTAACATTTTGACTTCTGTCTTCAGGCTTTTATTCTCTTCCACAAGAGCAGTTAATTTTTCGTTGATACTTTCCGAAACGTTTTTAGTGACTGCTTTGGTTATCTCCCTTGTTTGCGCTGCCATTTCCTCCTTCATTGTTCTCCAGAAATCTTTCATTTGTTTATCCATGTTAGTGGTAGTTTCTTCGTTTTGCATGACAATACTGGGTTAGTTTTGGCAATACTGTTTTTTCTTGTAAGCAACACTAGTTAGCAATTGGCAAAAACTGGTCTAGAGTTGGCAACACTAGTTTTGTGTTGGTAGCAATATTTAAGCGTTTAGTAATACCAGCAGAGTGTGTCATCTATAATTTATGGTTGCTGTTGTGTTTGGTAGGTTGATACCTCGATCTGTCACCGTGGAATTGAATAATGATTTTGCTTTTCTAACCTGTTCGACAGTGTAGATCACGAAGAAATTGTTTTGCTTTTTGCACTTCGGTCGTCCAAATATATATTCACCACTTGCTTTTGTCACTACTTTCTACGTTGTTAATAGTTTTAAGTTGTTTGTGTAGAAATTATCGGTAAATTAGAATTGTTTTATGACGAGTAACAATAACCGATGTTCACTGTTCGACACCGGAACCGGGCATCCATATAACACGTATACGATTGGGAGGGGGAGGGGGGGTATCAAATTTTGGGCCAGTCCCTAAGTTACCATGGTCACAGAATAAATAATTGCCATGGTTCTAATATAAGAAGCTGTTTGCGTATTAAATTGTATTTGAATTGAAATTACATTGTTTTAAATTAATCAAATTCAAATTCAATTCAGCACCTAAATGGAATCTCTGAAATTCACAATGAAGGCAGATAAATACTTGTTTATCGACAACGGTATAAATGTTTATTTAATCATTCATTTGTTTTCATTTACATTAATGACAGCGGTTCAATTTAGCGACGTACACACTATGTAAATTAAGTCTCAGACACGACAATACATTAAAGATGTTAAAAATTAATTTGCTAAAACCGGCATATCACGCGTAAAACTGGGGTTTTCAGTAAGAAATTCTCAGTAGCAGTTATTTATTCTGTAGTAGCAGCCGAGAAATAGGAAGTTAGTAGTTAAGGAAAGTACGTAAAGCCGTTGGTCCTGCACCTGATCTCTCTCCGTTCGTGTCGGATTACTGTCTCATCGGAATATGAGAGTGAGGGAATAGAGAGTGCACCTGTGCTTGCGCATACACTTGGGCACTAAGAGTATAATCCTGTGTAGAACAGATGGCTAGTTTTCATTGAGAACGGCCGCCGTGATCTAAATCGGTATATAGAATGTTATTATACGAAATTGTAATTATTATCTATAATTTTGAATGAATGAATGAATTGAAATGAATAATCCATTATTTAATTAAATTAATAGATTTCCAAAACAACGCACGCAAAGCAAGGCCTGATTCTATTAATTACGAGTACAATCAATATAGCAATTTTAGATATGAACATTGCGTAGATGTCTGTGAAACCAATATTACATTGCTATCTAGAATTTTCGAGGACATGTCGCCGGCAGATTGTATGATTTGTCACTATATAAACAGCGTCGTCTGTGGAAGACTGTCAAAGTCTGACTGCCAAATGCAAATTAATGTGTTCTATCGTAGAATTGGGCAGACAAAGACGTTGAACTAGTTAGTATACCTATATAATTAAATCTCTTTGGTGTAAAATAATAGAGGTGCTCGCACTGCGCGCCGAGTTACAGTTCTCGGTACAATATAATGTAACTTATTGGTGATATAACTACAGTCAAACCTGTTATTACATCATCATGGCCATAATAAGTGATCGTCTAGATTCCAGACTTAGTAGTTTATACTTAGTATATTAATAATTGTACGTATGGATTTCTGGAATGTTAACACTTATACCAGATGTTGCTTAAAAATTTCTTTTTGACCATTTCCAATTTATAATTATATTTTTTGTATAAGGGACTCCATATTGGTACAGCGTATTATAATTGTGAACGAACATCGATATATATGTACTACGTACTAAATTTCGCATTCCGAACATACACTCTGTTCAACTGAACTGTACTGCAATCCGTACAGTGTGTCATTTAGTGTGGTTTCAATCTACCAGTTAGTCTGTGGTTTTAGTATTCATGCAGTGTGGAGCGTCGCTAGTAATACAAGATTTCAAATTAAAGTTTAAATTAAGGCTTTAAGAAGCCTGAATGACCTTGACGAAGAGATTTTAGCCGACGTCAGCACTGTCTAGTGACTACTTTCTGTATTACTTAGAAAAGTGCAAAGATAAATAGATTGTAGATGTGACAAGTATAAAAGTGATGTTAAGAATTGTTAAGCATAATTGCGCATCACTGAGAATTATGTCGCGGTTAAGGATCTTCAATTACATTGCGCGGTGTGCTGCTGTAGCTTCGTCTGGTAGGAATCACGAGCTATCAAGTATTTAAGTTTTAAGTACGTAAGAGTTTTTATTATATTTGTTGAATCGCATTGATTTGTGTCGTATTAGTAGCTCTGGGTCAAGCGTTCGCTTTGATTTTTTCCCGGGTTTGATCCCCGGCAGCACCAATGAAATTTGTAATTGCAATTTTCGTCAACACGCATTGGGGCAGCGCGGCGGGAATTTCCTTGCCCTAAAAACCTCTCAGAAATAAAGAGTCCTGTGCCCAGTAGAGGGACTTGTATATTACTTTAATTTTGTAGCAATATTCATATTCGTTTCAGATACAGAAGGGTACCTAATGCTGACAAAAATATCATGTGGAGGCGACTAAACGTCGTGGTTATATTCTCTTTGGAGGCGACGAAAACGTAAAACATCTTTGTACCAAGATAAAATGTTCGAGAGATTGTCAGTCATGTCATACGCCACATTTTCTATAGAGCGTAGATTGTTGCAGATAGGGCAAAATAAAAAATAATACAAATGATTATGGGAATTATTTATTAATAATATATACATTTATAGGTATTTATAATAAAAATAATGAACAAGCTGTAAGGTTCAACTAATAATGTTTCTTGTAAACACAATTGTAAAATTCCTGTTTTCATTTTTACGAATGGTTAATTGATGGAACGTAGTCAAGATCACTTCATATAAAATATATTTAATTAAAATTGACTCACGACCTATTTGGCCTTCTATTTACAACTCGGCGGAAATTTGAAAAGAAGATTTTGTCTGTTCTTAATTATCTTGTGTACACCATTTTTCACAGAAGTATTGTTTACAAATGGCATGGTTTCGAAAAGCGTAATTAAGTGTCAGTGATATATTGTCAATTAGATACTGAACTTTTTTGAAATTTATTTTTTTGTTTCTTTTTGTTATATCTTCTTAAAAACCAACGCCATCTCATTGGTTTTTTTGTAACGCATAGGGTATCTTGGATAAGATTGTAATTTTTTTAATTTTATCGCAAAATTTCCGCAATAAATTATTACCTTATCTACAGTGATTCTCTCCTCTTAGTTTCGGCGTCACTGTAGGATGTTATACTGAGTCACCGTCAGTTACTAAGCGGCCATAAATCATAATATTTATGTATAGACATACAGATATACATTTTTTGATTTTAATATTTATGTTACTCGTATTTTTGAATTTTGTTTGATTATTTGAAACCTGGTAAAATTATTTTTTTCCATACCAATTGATGGGCCAGAGTATAATGCCAGTTGTCCTCTTTGGCTAAACTTTGACAAAACAATATTGATTGCGCATCTCTAAAACAAAATTTTACCTCTTCTCCTTCTTATAATAGCTCCTGCACCTGACACGGCGGAATAGTTATTATCTATAAAACCATTTTTCTCTTCTCTTCTTCTTTTTTGTTTTGAAAAACGTTACCCCCACACTAGGATTTTCTCCTGTATCGTGGAGGCAGTTTACAAGCATATATTGCACGAGGACAAACATCCAGACTCGGAACAATTATTTGTAGGCCATACAAATACTGCAAAGCCACTGTGCCACGGAGCCGTCAATTTGAAGAAACAGTTTTTGTTAATTAGTAACATTTTTATCAGCTGCTTTGTTTATAGTGCCTTGAGCAACACTTTGCCGGTTTCGGTACAGACAATGATGCTGACTTTGCTGGCTTTGCAAAATATGGATGGCCGCTACCATTGAATATTGTTGCGCGCCACTATTAATGTCTTGTACATGGCAACACTAGTTACACTAGCGCCCCCTAGTATCGAGTAAATGAAAGTATTGCGCGCCACTATTAATGTCTTGTACATGGCAACACTAGTTACACTAGCGCCCTCTAGTGTCGAGTAGCAGAACTAGGAGAGTCGAGATCCTTCCAGAAATTTCGGGGCCGATATGTACTCGTACATTCTAGATGTCGCTACAGTAGAAGGTTCTGGAAACTAGCTGAGGCCCTATATAAGGCCGGTATAGACCACGACCGGGGCAGTATTGAATTGGCGATACAAGAGAATACTTCGAAGCGAAATAACGGCGAACTGTGTTTTATTATTAGTGTGATTTTAGATTATAATTAGTGTTGTGTAATTAAAGTGTCCATTTTGGTAATTCAATCGGCAGTTTTTAATTGTCTCGAACCCCAAGCTCGTAACAATTGGTGTCAGAAGTGGGATCAAATATGCCGATTTTACCTAAAGACGACACCGAGGGTATCCGTACCCGAAGTCAACGCCAACAGGAGACGGACCAGAGACGATTTGGTGGTGCAACGTCACAGACGTCGGCAGGCCAGTTGCCGACCACGGAGGCCGGCCCGTCAGCAGCTCCTGCATCTGCAGCACCTGAATTAGGTACTCTGATGATGATGCTGCAGGAACAGGCTCGCCGACAGGAGGAACAGGCCCGCCGACAGGAGGAACAAGCCCGCCGACAGAAGGAACAGGCTTGGCGGTTGGAAGAGCAGCTGCAGCGCGGACAGGAGGAACAGGCCCGCCAACAGGAGGAACAGGGCCGTCGGTTGGAAGAGCAGCTTAAACGCGATAAGGAAGAGCAGATACTTCTCATGAAGGACCTTCACGCTACCTTCGGGAAAGAAATAAGTGAGGTGAAGGATAAGGTTGCTCAATATGACAACCGCCTGTCGGAAGCTGAAACCCGAATCGACCAAGTGAACAATCGGGTTGACAACATGATGGCTGATGTGAAGAAAACGCTGGACGAGCTCAAACTTGGGGATGGAATTACAGCTCCCGTAGTAGCTACAACACCTTCGCTACGTGGATTCAAAGTGCCGCCGTTCGACGGGAGTTCTTCCTGGTCGGCCTACAAAATCCAGTTCGAGGCTGTCATGAAAGCGAAAGGCTGGAATAAAAGTCAGGCCATGACTGCTTTCACCCTAGGCCTACGCGACCAGGCATTAACTGTTCTAGAAGCTCTCGGTAAGGAAGTGACTTACGAGCAGCTCCTTGAGGCATTGGAGGCGAGATATGGCGATGCTCACCTGGAATACGTCTTTCGTGCGCAGCTCAAAGATCGCGTGCAACGCAGTAACGAAAACCTGCAGCAGTGGGCCCTTGAGGTGGAGAAGCTGGTTCGAAAAGCGTACCAGTCTGTACCTGCGCTCATTGTAGGGAACCTGGTGCAGACATTCATCGACGGCATCCGCGACCTTGAAGTCAGAGCTGCTGTGAGGCTCGGGCACCACGAGACGCTTAAGAACGCCTTGGCCCATGCACTGGAGGTGGAAGCCGTGCGGCAGGATCATCGTTCCCACCGCGTCAGGGAGGTTGCAGCAGCTACAGTTCAGGACCGCAATACGGGCTACAGCCCTAGGTGCTACGGCTGTGGGGAAAGGGGCCATCTTCGATCCAGCTGCCCTAAACGAACTGTAGAAAGGGAAGGTGATCGATATCGAGAGGGTAGTGTGGCTGACAGCACCGCCCAGCAGCAGCAGGGAAACTGGCGGGTGCTGGCTGATGTTAAAAGAGCCCCAAGGATTTCGATCTCACAAACCCTGAGATGGAAACAGCCTAATCATCAAGGGCGAGGTCAACGGAAAGCCGTGTAAACTTACCATAGACACTGGAGCCTCTCGCACGGTTGTCAGTTCCCAACTTATAAATCAGTTTCTTGGGGACTCCGCATACAACCGCGAACGCATTAATTTGGTGACAGCCAACGGTCAGCGCATACCCGTCCGAGGAGAGAAGGAGATGGAGTTGAAGCTAGGCAACATGATCTACCTGCATAATGTCATCGTGGCTGATATAATGGACGACTGCATCCTGGGCCTAGACTTTATGAGGAAGAATTGTTGTGAGATCGACGTTAAGCAAGGTGTTTTGAAATGTGGACAAGAGGAACTTTTCGTGGGAGGGGCGTTACCAGGGAATGTGTACAGCCTTAAGAAGATTGTTCTTCCACCGAGATCGGAAACGATTGTGCCGGTTAGACTTCCACGGAATCCTGGGCAAACTCTTCGTTGTGTACTCGTGGAAAGGGTAGACAATGACCTTCCATGGAAAGTGGCTCGAACCTTGGTCAGAACCGCCGACATCTCAGGAGTACGTGTGCTGAACCTTTGTGATCAGAAACAGATTATAGAAAAAGGCACATTGGCTGGTACTAGTGAGGAAGTGGATTGGTTGCGTCGGTGCGAATATCTATCGACCGGGACCCCCAGCAAGGATGGACAAACGAGAGTGACCACACTTTTAGAAGACTGTCGCAGCGTTCTTTCCCCGAATGAAATGGTCAAGGCGAAGAAGTTGTTACTCAAGTACGCCAATGTTTTCTCGTCAAACGAAGCTGACATAGGAAAGACTGGCTTAGTTCAACACAAAATAAACACAGGACAAGAATTGCCTATTCGTCAGCGGCCAAGAAGATTGCCTGTAGCACGTGAAAAGGAAGTGGAAACCATGATTGAGGGAATGGTGAAGGATGGTGTTATTGAACCTTCATCTAGTCCATGGTGTTCACCTGTGGTGCTGGTAAAGAAGAAGGACGGCAGCATGCGGTTTTGTGTTGACTACCGCCGCCTGAACGACGTTACAAAGAAGGACAGCTATCCCTTGCCAAGAATTGATGACACGCTGGACATGCTTACAGGCGTAAAGTGGTTTAGTACGCTGGATCTGAAAAGTGGCTAGTGGCAGGTTGAAATTGACCCTAAGGACAAGGAGAAAACTGCATTCTCCACAGGAAAGGGTCTGTGGCAATTCAAAGTCATGCCGTTTGGATTGTGCAATGCTCCAGCAACGTTTGAAAGGTTGATGGAGCTTGTACTTACCGGGCTAATTGGAGATGCCTGTCTGTTCTATTTGGATGACATCATCATCGTAGGCCGTACGTTTGAGGAACACCTTCAAAACCTGGAACGTGTGCTCACAAAGATCCAGAGTGCCAACCTCAAGTTGAGTCCGAAGAAGTGCTCACTATTCAAACGGCAAGTTAGTTTTTTGGGGTATGTAGTGTCGGAAGAAGGTATCCGCACGGATCCAGAGAAAATTGCTGCTGTCAAGGAGTGGCCGGTCCCAAAGGACAAGACACAGGTTAGAGCATTTTTGGGTTTGTGCTCTTATTATCGGCGATTTGTGAAGAACTTTGCAGATATAGCCAAACCTCTGCACAAGCTAACCGAGGAGAAGCGACAATTCTGCTGGGATGAAAGTTGCGATATTGCATTCCAGGAGCTCAAGAACCGTCTGTGCAAAACACCTATTTTGGGGTACCCTGATGCGGGCAAGGAATTCATAGTTGACACAGACGCAAGTGATATAGGACTTGGCGGTGTCTTGTCTCAACGGAATGGTGATCAAGAGATTGTGATAGCGTACTTCAGCAAGTCGTTGTCAAAGCCGGAAAGGAACTATTGTGTCACAAGACGGGAATTGCTTACTGTGGTAAAGTCCTTGCAGCATTTTAGCAAATATCTTCTAGGGCGGAAATTCCACTTACGAACTGACCATGCTGCACTGAAATGGCTATTGCAGTTCAAAAATCCGGAAGGACAAGTTGCGAGATGGATTGAACTACTGCAGGAATACGACTTTGTGATCGAACATCGCAGCGGGAAATCTCATGGCAATGCAGATGCATTGTCAAGAAGACCTTGCCCTGAAGATTGCAAGCATTGTAATAGGCAAGAGGGTAAAGAAGTGGTATCTGCGAGGATATTCAAGACAGACCAGCTCAGCAATGAATGGAAGGACAGCCTACAACATGCACAGCAGGAAGATTCGGACATTAAGCCGATTCTGGAATGGATGAAGGCCAGTGCTCCTAAGCCCAAGTGGAGCGACGTCTCAGCAATGAGTTCGACCACGAAAAGCTATTGGGCCCAATGGGACAGCTTGCTGATTCAGGATGGAGTCCTGTGCCGCAAATGGGAAAATGGTCGGGGAGACAGATGTCATTTGCAAATGGTTGTCCCTAAGGCTAAAGTACCGGATGTTCTACAACTGTACCATAGTAGTTCTTCAGGAGGCCACCTGGGAGTTAAACGAACTCTCCTGAAGATCCGAGAACGGTTTTACTGGGTCCACTGTCGTGACGATGTCGAGGACTGGTGCCGCAAATGTACAAGTTGTGCGGCTGTAAAGGGACCTCAAATTCAGGTAGTAGAGGCGCATTGAAATTGTACAATGTTGGTGCACCATGGGAGAGGATAGCCATTGACGTTGCGGGGCCGTTTCAGGAAAGTGAAAGTGATAACAAGTATTTCATGGTTGTGATGGATTACTTCACTAAGTGGCAAGAAGTCTTCGGCATTCCAAATCAAGAAGCTTCAAAAGTTGCAGATAAACTAGTTCATGAAGTCTTCTGTCGTTTTGGAGTACCCTTAGAGATTCACAGCGATCAAGGAAGGAATTTCGAGTCTCAAATATTCCAGGAAACTTGCAGAGTTATGGGTGCTCATAAAACACGAACAAATTCTTACCACCCACAATCTGATGGAATAGTAGAACGATTTAATCAGACATTGGAAAGGTACCTGGCAAAAGTTGTGGAAAAACGGCAACGAGACTGGGACAGGCACATACAACCGTTTCTGTTGTCATATCGAAGCGCTGTTCACGAAAGTACATCATTGACGCCAGCTTTCGCAAACTTTGGGAGAGAATTACGGCTGCCTGCAGACCTGACCACCGGAATACCACCAGATGCCCCACGCAGTATAACCGATTATACAAATGACTTGCGGAACAAAATGAATGACATTTATGAGCACATCAGACAGACGGGCCAGCAAACGTCTGAGAAGATGAAAACACGGTATGACCGCAAAATGAACAACAAGGGGTTTGATGAAGGTTCTCTAGTGTGGTTACACAATCCAGTTCGCAGCAAAGGGAAATCTCCTAAGCTTCAAGCTAAATGGGACGGACCGTACCGGATTGTGACAAGGATCAATGACGTAACCTACCGGATACAGAAAGGTGCCAGAGGTACTCCTAAGATTGTCCATGTAGATCGACTGGCGCGTTATTATGGGGCCAATAATGCTCGGGACGAGCATGTCTTAGGAGGGGGCAGTGTTGCGCGCCACTATTAATGTCTTGTACATGGCAACACTAGTTACACTAGCGCCCCCTAGTATCGAGTAAATGAAAGTATTGCGCGCCACTATTAATGTCTTGTACATGGCAACACTAGTTACACTAGCGCCCTCTAGTGTCGAGTAGCAGAACTAGGAGAGTCGAGATCCTTCCAGAAATTTCGGGGCCGATATGTACTCGTACATTCTAGATGTCGCTACAGTAGAAGGTTCTGGAAACTAGCTGAGGCCCTATATAAGGCCGGTATAGACCACGACACGGCACGGCACGAAACAGTGGTAGAGCCATGCGTAAGCTTTTGCTGTCGTACGGATGGGCCGGCTCGAACCGGGGTGGTACCATGACCTCACAGAATACCAGCGTGAAGTAGAGGCTTACCTCTGCGTTTCGCTTGGTGAGTGCAGGTGGCCGGAGGCCCTTTTTACTGGAAATGAGGCATTCCATCTTAGTCCTCACGGGTGACAACGCATCTGCATCTTGATTCGCAAACGAGGATAGATGTAGATGTCTATGGGCCGCAGCAACCACTTACCATCAGGTGGACTGTGCGCTCGTTTGTCACCCTTATCCTATAAAAAAAAAAAAAAAAAACGACCAGGGCAGTATTGAATTGGCGATACAAGAGAATACTTCGAAGCGAAATAACGGCGAACTGTGTTTTATTATTAGTGTGATTTTAGATTATAATTAGTGTTGTGTAATTAAAGTGTCAATTTTAGTAATTCAATCGGCAGTTTTTAATTGTCTCGAACCCCAAGCTCGTAACAATATAATACCTGCTATGTTACACTTAGTTACATAGAAATTTTAATTATTATTTGCATAAAATTCTAAATAGCACTTTTTACACAAGAAAGTAAACTTTTAGATCAGTCCATCTTGTTTTTCACTAATTAAGTGAATAGTAAAACAAACCAATAGGTCCATGATTTAAAATTTCTTGCAGCTTTTTATAGAAAAGCATGACCTTATCATAATATAATAGTCAATCATTTAGCCATCTGATAAAACCTTTAAGTGTGCCAGTCAAACATTAATTATGATATACGGGTCATTATACTGGAAATAGTCTTTTAAATATTTTGTAGTACAATTGATAATGTTCAGTATGATTGACCATGTGTATCACTTTTATAAGTCTATGTTATTTTTGATGAAAATTATTATTGCAGATAAAAGCCCTTTCACATTTATTTTAGTTTCGAATTAAATTATTCAAAATGAAAATTTGAACTTTTCAATAAGTCTCATCGGTAGCGTGTGTTTTACATAGAAATCTTGTAATGACGTGCATTTTTTTCAATATGAACTAAGTCGTGTTTCTCTGAACTTGATAAGGTTTGTTTTATCCAAAACTAAGGATGTTGCTCATGAAACGTCGTAAAAATTAGCTAGGATAGGTTTAGTTTTTGCAAAATGTCCCATTAATGGCTCTTTATAACTGATATTCAAATATAAAACACAGACTTGAAATTATGTAATCAGCATTTTTTAATTCATTGAACTTTTTAAAGATTGTGATGAAACTCCACTATTAAAAAAAATATATATAATATATTATAGTTCTTGACGAAAATAAGGACGCGGATAGCGTTACATCGCATCCCACCAAGAATTTCTTATGTAAGCTAAGACGTGATAATAACTGTAAACAATAGAATAACAAAATAATGAAAACATTTATAAATACTTGCTTTACGAGTACAACCTAATAAATATTATTTGACCGTAATAAAATAAAACAACGTAGTCTTCGGCATGAAAGTAAAAATAAATATTTACGATTACTTTTGCAATATCTAACAGCCGGATCAGCACGCGATTTAGATCCATCTAAAGATGCTAAATTTCAGCAAGCACTGTCAAATTCAATAGGAGTGACAGAAAAAACGCTTCTTGATATAGAAGGGCAAATAAATTCTTTAACCTATAAACCTATAGAGTAAAATCACTTTATTAAAAATCAAAATAGTCTAATAGCTTTATTAACATGTGACACATAACTGCACGAGTACTTACAATATTTAACATTATTTTACTGAATTCTCTGAATGTTTTTTTAATAGAATAAGGGTGACAAACGAGCGTACAGTCCACCTGATGGTAAGTGGTTGCTTACGACCCATAGACATCTACATCTATTCTCGATTACGTATCAATATGTAGATGCGTTGTCACCCGTGAGGACTAAGATGTAATGCCTCGTTTCCAGTAAAAAGGTTCTCCGGTTCTCTACACTTACCATACGAAACACAGCAGGGTTAAACTGCTATTTTACAATGGTATTCTGTAAGAGCGTGGTCCTACCTCGGTCAAGCCGACCCATTCGTGCTACAACTATACCTACTACTAATATAGCTGCAGCATGGCTCTACCACGTAAGAAAAAATTGACGTTGAAAATTTAAGTATTTTCAGAAGCAACTTTCCAATTATTTTCTATTGAGTGAATTTTGTGGAATCGTGTTTTGCAAACCGCCACCTGAAATACGTACAATTTTTTCTTGATGCCGACGTGAAATTACAAAACGATCCCCATGCATATCAATGTGGCTCTATTCCGCCTCTTAATATGGACATACCTCGGGATTCAGATATTTTAAAAGTTTTCATGCGTAGATAATGAAGATATTATATTATGTTAGTACTGTCCCGTCTGTGGCAACCTTTATATTTATATACATATTCTCATCATATTTTTATGGTTGGTTAGAAAAATTATATCTACATGCAAACTTTCACAGGGCAAATTTTTTTTTCACTAAAAATAGTACCCAGCAAGTAGTAGAGCAACTACAATCCCACCGGTAAGTGGTTATGTAACCTAAGATGGTAAATTGCACTGACTTAACAAAAACCTATTCACTCTTGCCTAATAGTAGTAGGTAAGTATTATTTGCGACCTGTGTGTGTGTATGTGTGTGTGTGTGTGTGTGTGTGTGTGTGTGTGTATGTGTGTGTGTGTTTGTGTATGTGTGACGAAAAGCATATGAGAATACATGAAGAGGAATAAAACTTAGGTTACCGGTACGAGGTTGCCACTCCTTTTCCCATGCCACACCTTTCTACCTATTTTATATCGGTTTTCCAAGTTATATAACCAGCCCATTGCCATTTCACTTTAATATTCCGTTGGGCTATGTCAGTTACTCTGGTTCTACTGCAAATATCTTCATTTCTAACTTTATCACGTAGAGAAACCCCTCTCCAATTTAAAATGTTTACATTTTTTAGATGATAATTTGTCTAACATAAAAAAAAAACCATAAACCCAAGAATGACTTTATATAGTTATTTATACTTAGGGAAGCACCATTTTTTTATTTATTTAAATTGTTTAATTTAATTTGATAACAGTGTACCTAAATGTAAGTATCTGTATCTATATTTTCCTCCCCAATAATATTTTATTAGTCATACTCATAAAAACAGCGTTTTATTGTAATACATAATTATAAACTTTTTATTTCTTTACATGCAAAAATTTAAACAATACAACTATGTATTCCTAATCAAAAGGGGGGATAGGTCTGTATCTCCTAAATACAGGTTACTAAGTAACCTAGCTAGGAGACTCAGGATTCTACCCATTTTCAAATTAGTCCTCTTGATGTATTGCATATATTTGTAAAAAGTATGTAAACTATAAAAATGTCAATAAAGATTTATTATTATTATTATTATTATTAAACTAATTAATAAAAATATGCAACAATAAAATTACATAGGTATTAAAAACTATTGAAATCTAAGTAACGAAAGCATGTTGGTCGTTCCACATCTAAATTATGTAAAAATGCATTTTTCAATTTCACTAATCAACGTCGCCGCGAAAATTTCTTCTTCTTTGGGCACTTTAAAAATTAATTTATTTAGAAAACAATATTTACAGTTACCAGTGTACAGATATTAACTAAATTAAGTATTTCTAGTCATAAAAATATTTATAATTGAGTATAAACTTTTAAAAAACTAAAATATATTTGAACGAAGTCGCTCCAACACCGACGCGCAGTCCACCCTCGACGATGTCCGAAAACGGACTGCGAGTGCGAATGCGAGTGCGACTGGGCTCGCGGGTGATTACAGGGCGACGGAGCATGCACGCTCGCGCAAATATATTCAATTTCAGGGAAAAATGATATTTTCTCTTATAAAACGGGGAATAAAAATAAAAATCTCAATTAAAAATATTAATATTTTTAAGACCTTTTTTTAATGTAAGAACTATTTAGAAAGCTTGAGCCGTTTTTGGGAAATTTTGCAAAATATGACAAAGACAGGTAGTCTTTGGGGATTTTTTTCCTAATAAGGGATTGACAAAAATACAATTTTGTTCAATTAAAACCATTTAGTAAATCCTCTTCTGTTACCCTGTATTTTTTCTTTGTGGATTCAATGAACAGTTATTGTGATTTTTTTACTTAAATATCCAAGAATTTAGGCATTTCAACCGCAGTTAAGGCCTAAAAAACTGACCGCGCAGACGCAACGCGCTGCTTTGCTTACGCGACTTCGCGTATGCGCGACTGTACATCTCCCGCGCATAGAGTAAGACATAGAGTAGTGCACATTTTTTGTTTAGAATGGCTTCTCTAGTACGTAGTACATATAACTCAATGTGAACGAATGAGTGTTTTGTATAGAATTAAAAAAGTAGATGATCGTTTAAAGTCTCTAGAGGATCTCATGATGAAACCATATTGTTTAGAAGCTTTATTGATTATGTAATCGATATGGTAATCTAAATGTAATTTCGAGTCCAGCATTTAACCTATGTTAACTTTTTGTAAGGGTATGCGATTGATACAATAATTTAATTAAAAAGGTTTTTTTATGTTGTTTGTAAAATATATAACATTACACGTGAGCTGACTCATGTGAAGCTCATTATCTAAACGGTACTTAGAAAATTTGTCAAGATCTTACTAGACTTATAGTAACTGAAGTATATAATATATAATGGGAAACACTGTATACTGTATTCTATTTCATTC